TATCTTTTTGATTTAGAGGTTTCACATTTCCTGGATATATGCCCAGGAGTGGGATTGCTGGATCATATGGTGACTCTATTTTTAGTTTTTTAAGGAACTTCCATACTGTTCTCCACAGTGGCTGCACCGGTTTACATTCCCACCAACAGTGTAGGAGGGTTGTCTTTTCTCCACACCCTCTCCAGCATTTATTATTTGTAGAATTTTTAATTATGGCCATTCTGACTGGTGTGAGGTGGTACCTCATTGTAGTGCTGATTTGCATTTCTCTAATGATTAGCAATGTTGAGCATCTTTTCATGTGCTTGTTGGCCATCTGTGTGTCTTCTTTGGAGAAATGTCTATTTAGGTCTTCTGCCCATTTTTTGATTGGGTTGTTTTTTTGACATTGAGCTGTATGAGTTGCTTGTATGTATATTTTGGAAATTACCCCCTTGTTGGTCGCATCATTTTATTGCTTCATTTTTACACATACACCTTTATACACATTTCGAGGAACACACGATATACAAAGTAAGAGAGAGTCCCGTGAGATGACAGATGGAGTCTGAGCAAGTGTCCATGGAAAAACAGGGGAGGCATCAATTCCACCTGCAGAAACTGTGGTAGGCTGGGTGAGGTTGAGCCATGAACTGAGGGGTAAGAAGGAGTGCACCAGGTGGATGGGGCAGTGGGGCAAAGGGAAGGAGGACATCATCTGCAGCGGGAACAGCATGTGCAGAGATGAGGAACAGCACAGTGCTCTGGGAAGGGCAGGTGGTTCAGTTCATCTAGAGCATGAGATGCAAGGGGAGTTGCAGGAGATGACAGGGAAGGAGCCACCTCATGAGGGGTCGGAAATGTCGTGCTGAAGTTTAGATTCTCAGTGCAGGTGGTGGAGTTGCTGGAGGACTTTAAAACCGGGAATGAGAGGGATCAGATCTCCCAGTTAGAAAGGTCACTTTGGGCCTGCGTGAGGGATGGAGAAGTGCAGGATGGGGTGGGAGCCACAGACTTGAGACCCAGAAGGACTTCTAGCAAGGCTTCACTGATGTGGAAGAAAGACTGATAAATGACAGAGAAAAAGAGAGAAGGTGACAGGAACTTTAGAGGAGGAGGGGGCGTCTTCCCCAGGATGGTGACGCAAAGGAGAGTAACAGTCACACGAGGCCAGCACAATCTTAAAAGATCTTGAGGCTGTTGAAATGGTTAAGGTGCAGCTGACCCACCTTGTCTTCAGTCTGCCTGTAAGCATGACAATGATGTAGCACTACTACTTAACAGTGGAGAGTCGGAAGGGATGGGGACCATCTTTGCAAGCATAGGAATGAGAACAAAGTTGGAAAAAGATGAAGGTAAAGAAAGATGTCAGGAGGAGGCAGGCAGCAGACGGGTACATTTTGATGGGCAACAGAGGGTGGCCGATATGAAGGAATGACTGGGAATGATGAACCTCGAGTGTTCTCGTTTTGGCAGGTTATTTCAGTGCCAGAACATACAGGAGCATCCCAGGGAGGATCTGGTCTGGCCTCGGAGAGGTGATGAGTGTTGTCCTGAGATTTGCGAAGTGTGGTAAGTCAAATAATGCCCCCCCACCCGTGAAAGCTGTCCACATCCTAATTCCCAGAACCTGTGTAGCCTTATAGTATGGTAAAGGGGACTTTGCAGATGTGATTAAATTAGGACCTTTGGATGGAGAGATCATTCTCGATTATCTGGGCAGGCCCAATGAAATTGCAAGAGTCTTTATGAGAGGGAGGCAAGAGGGTCAAAGTCAAAAAAAGATGTAATGATTGAAGCAGAGGTTGGAGTGATTCCCTTCGAAGATGAAGGAAGGGGCCACAAGCCAAGGAATGCAGGTGGCCTCAAGAAGTTGGAAAAGGCGAGGAAATGGATTCTCCTCTAGAGTCTCCAGAAGGAATGCAGCCCTGATGACACCTTGATTGTAGCTCCATAAGGCTCATTTTGGACTCCTGACCTCCAGAAATGTAAGATAAATCTGGTTGGTTTAAGCCATGAAGTTTGTGGTAATTTGTTGCAGCAGCAATAGGAAGCTAATACCAGGGACCACTGTGCTTTGGCCTAAGTGGGATTCTTTTTTTTGTTTTTTTGGTTTTTTTGCGGTACGCGGGCCTCTCACTGTTGTGGCCTCTCTCGTTGCGGAGCACAGGCTCCAGGCGCGCAGGCCCAGCGGCCATGGCTCACGGGCCCAGCCGCTCTGCGGCATGTGGGATCTTCCCGGACCGGGGCACGAACCCGTGTCCCCTGCATCGGCAGGCAGACTCTCAACCACTGCGCCACCAGGGAAGCCCAGTGGGATTCTTTTGAGCCGTGGCAGAGCAAGCATTCCCAGGAAGTTTGGGAGTCGCGGTGGGGTCCCCGTTCCACAGTGCTTGTCTGGTCTCCCTCACTGATTGGGCACCACTGCTGGATGTCTGAGATGGACCTCAGCCTCCCCCTCCCCACTGCCTAAACTCTTTCCTCCCATGCCCTCTGTCTTGGAGAGCACCTGAGCCAGACCTTAGGAGTCATCCTTTCCTGGGCCTCGGATGCGGTTCTGACGTGACACGCAGGCAGCGTGAGGGCGTGAGAATACATGTGAGGACGGGCGAGGGTGTGGTGGTGGAGGAGGAGCCCCGCCGGCCGGGCAGACACCACATGCGTCCCGGTTGGCTTCCAAGCACTAGAGACGTGTCCAGTGGGGGCGGTGGACCAGAAGCACAGCAGAGAGGTCAGGGCTGCTGAGAAGGAATGAGACGCCATGGCCTGTGCCTGCCATCTCACAATGGGCCTGGATGAGAGGCACTCCCCTTCCTTCTCCACGTCCCACTCCCACGCCTTCCGTGACAAATTCGAGTGGATTTTTAAATTTTTTACATTTTCATTTTCTTAAGAAGACAACAATCAAAAGAGACTGAAAACAAAACATGAGATAGAATGTTAACAAGTGTTAACTCTGGTTGGTGGGAATATGGGTGTCAGCTGGCCTGGCTCAAATGCCATTGGAGGGATTTCACTCCAAGAACAGGGTTACAGCCACTGCAGGCATCCCAGATCCTTTCTTGGCCTCTGCCCAGCCAAGAAAAGATGCAAAGAGAAAACATCCAGCTTCAGTTTTTCTTTGATACCCTGCAATTTTTTCTTCCTATCTTCATGTACATGATCTCATATTAAACCAAATGACAAAAACCATGACTATATTCTGAAGCGAGGTGACTGGATGTGGTTTTATTTTCCCTCCAGGTGTCGGTTTTATCTCCACAGAGTCAAACTTCTCTGGAATCTCCCATCCCAGCTCTCAGGGACAGCTGCCTCCCTGGGTCCAAGGCCACCCTGAGGAGGGCGCAGAGAAAGCCGACTCCACCGCTGCCGCGGGGGATGCATGTAGTGGCGCCAGCGCCAAAGACGCGGGTCTAAGAACAGGACCCACCAAACCGCCTCGGTGCTGGTTAGGTTTTATTTTAACAGGAGGTCTCCTCTTCATTTGTTTCTCAAAATATCAGTTATATCAATATTAGAAGTGTAAACTGGTACAAAATATACAGTACATAGAAACAATCTTCTTAACTAGTCTATTGCCTAATAAAAGTACGCACAAGGGAGCTGAATGAACAGAAGCGATGGTCTCCCCCGGCTCGGGATACAAGTTCCCCAGAGGACAAGGAACCAGCGTCTGCTTCAACAAAACGGGAATGGATACTCATGTGGCAGAGACAGCATTGGGGTGGAATCAAGAAACCTTGGCCCATTTCTAATTCCACCTTCAAGACGTCAGCCAGGGAACGAGCAAGCCCTGCCCCTGGCCCAGACCCTCAGCCCCGACCCCTCCCGGGGGAGAGTGCCCACTGGCCACCAAGGCCGCCACTTGGCTAAAGCTTGAGGCCTGATGATTTTGCTCAGGCAGATGTGGGGCAGATCTTTTAAGAGGGCAAAATGAAAAGCTTTCCTCCCCCAAACTAATGCTCCAGAGGGATGAGCCAAGTCTGACCTGAGCCTCTTCCCAAGTGTCTGCACTCATTGTGCACACGGGGTGCGAGGCTGAGATGGGTCCCCTCTGAGCAGCTTATTGCCTCATCTCTCACAGGAAAGGATGCTCGTCCGGCGTGCTTCAGTAGGGCACAGTAACGATCAAATGAGGTTCCGTGTGAAAGCGTCTGGACAGCGAGAACACACCACACCAAGAGAAAAGGAAACGAGCATCTGGCAGGAGCAGAAGGCAGCCCCTCCCCTGTGGGGGTCGGCAGGCGAGGCTCTGTTCCCGGCCCTGCTTCTGCTGCCCCTGCCTCACGCCTACATCCCTAACGGTGCTTCCGCACAGCTCTCCTTTACGAGGCCCAGGAGCCCCGTGGCGGGGCGCGGCGGGGCAGGGCGCCTGCGCAAGGCCGGCACTTGCGCAGAGCCTTCGCAGATGAGAGGCAGGTGCTGAGAGATGGCCGGCTACTGCTCCTCAGTCCTCCTGCCCGCGAGCTGAGGCTGGGCTTCCACGGCGCCCGGCTGGCCTTACTTTCCAGCCTGGCCTTGGGCAGAGCCCGGTCTCCGCTCCCCTGGGGCTGTGTGCAGAGACCGGCCTATCCCTAGGGGTCACTGAGGCCAGGGAGGTCCAGGTCCCTCCTCACCCGCGTCCCCGGCCAGCCAAGCTTCCGTCACACCCTCTGTCAGACTTGGTAAGGACACAGCCCACAACACACACACGCACTCCAGAAACCAAAGGTACATTATAAAGTTTAAACTGGTGCTACTACTATTTTCCGGCTTTTTCTTCAAGAATTAAAAAAAAAAGTTTCGTAATTAAATTACTTAAAATTCTATGCTGCTCAGTTTCACAGAGAATTCTACTTCGTTTAGAGGTGGGAGCTGCGTTGTCTGGTAGTTTCTCCCGCTCCAGTGAT